AAGGAAGAAATGCCTTAGCTGGAGCCCCCTGGCCATCCTCCCTCACCTGCTGTCCCTGCTGTCCCTGCCAGTGGACCGTGCACAGGGCAAGAGCAGGCATTGGTTTAACATCTTTCCTCCTGGGCTCAAAGCATTTTCTCATGCTGCTTCTCTTTGATTCTGTGCAAAAAGTTTGAGCAGACCTTTGCAAAGCTCCAAGCTTTGGTTCCTCCAAATATAAACCAGGGAGAGCTGCTCAAGGTCACACGGAGACCAAGTAGAACCGCAGGGGATGGGCGAAGCCCAGACTTTTACCTCCAACCTAGATCCCAAACCCAGCTCYCCTCCATTCACTCCTGGGCTGGTGGGTTGGGAGACAGTTTCTAAAGCCTGTCCTCCTGATCCCTAAGGGTGAGGGACCCAGGGACACCCAGCTTAGCTCTGCATGCCTCCCTCTGGTGCGGGAGCCACTGTGCCAAGCTGGTGTTCTCAGCCTCCCCACTAGGATGTCAGCTTCATGGGGATTGGATACTTGGTGGGTGCAGTCGTTCCTGATTGGAGGGTGGCAGCTGCAGAGCCAGGAGGTGGGCTCTGGGCAGATTGGCTCCATCCATGCATCCTGCATCCTGAATGCAAAGCAGAAGCTGTGGGAATCTCATCAGCCCCTCCCTTCCCCTGTGAAGTGGCAGAGGGGGTGGGCTGTGCTGTGCCCCAACCCCGAATGGACAAGACAGGCAGTTCCTCATGAAGTCGTTTTCAGAATGAGTCCAACCCCCCCCACCCCGTGGCTGTGGACCGGGGGCTGGCTGCTGGCTCAGAGGGAGCCTGACCTCAGGGTCAGCACTTCTGGGAGTCCAGGCCAGGGGTTGGGGTGGGACAGGTGTCTTCCAGGAGAACTTGCTAAGTGGCAGCGATTATCCCTCCACCTGCGGCCGCACTGAGCAGTGCCACTGGACAGAGCTGGCATTGAACTCTCCTGAGGAAGCTGGCTGATCCCCAGGCATGTGGAGCATCCCCACACTGGAGCAAGGGTGCCGCCTGCAGGAACACAGACCGCCCAGCCCGAGATCCTCTTCTGCACGCTGTCCATGGGCCTTCAGCAGGCTGAGCCGTGGTCATTCACTCATTCATCCAGCAAACTCCTCTGAGTGTCTACCATGGAAACACCTCAGACAAAACCCCTGCCTTGCCCCTTCCAGCACCTGGGTGGGGAGAGAGATCGTCCACGGGACAAGTGAGTGAGCCGTAAGGAATAGAGCAGGTGATAATCTTGAGGGAGAAAAATAACCCAAGAAGACAGGGCTGGCCATGTAAGACACCGAGTCCATGGGGGCCTCCTTGGAAAGGTGACCCTGGTTTACAGAGGCAAAGGCAGGGCCATGGTAGGCCTCAGGGGTCAGAGGCCAAGTCAGGTGGGAGGAAGAGGAGTGGGGGATGCCTGAGGAGGGACACTGGGCTGGAGGATCCCCAGGGAGTGTGGCTGAGCAGAAGGAGAGAGGCCACAGCTCCAAGGGGTGGAGCTGGAGGGCTCTGGGGAGGGGCTGCCCCAGAGGCCAGGGCTGAGATTTGGGGTTTACTTTGGATAGAATGAAAGCCATCGGAAGTTGTGCACAAAGTGACGCCCTGATCCGAAAGGGTCAGTCTTGCCCCTGTGGCACAGAGGAGACCAGGCAGGAAGCTGTGAGGCCTGAGCTGGGGAGGAGGGACCTGCGGGGAGAAGCTTGGGGCTTGGTCCAGGGGTGGAGGAGGCAGGTGTGTAAGGGGAGAGGGAGTCTGGGAGACTCCAGGAACGGACTCCCAGGAGGAGGGTGCTCTGACCCAGTTGTTCTGTGGTCATGGGAAGAGCAGGGCGGCAGGTAGGGTCCATCAGGAGCTGAATCTAAGGATCTCTTTCCTCATCCTCACGGAGGGAGCTCAGGGAGCCGAATAAACAACCCTGGGTGCAGGGGTTGACGGGCTGGAGACAGACGTGGGGTCTGCAGTGCAGAAACAGAATTCAGAAAAGGAAACAGATTCACCGCCAGACCCTGGGCAGCCACCAAAGTCAGAGGTCAGAGAGGTGAACAGGAAGCAGCTCGTGGACAGAAGGAGTGGACGAAGAGCACAGAGAAGCCGCAGAGGAGGGAGAGCCGAGGACTGCTTGGTCTGCCAGAGCCAGAGGGAGGAGAGGAATTGCAGACCAGTGAAGATGTGCTTTGGAGGAAATCCCCTGTGAATAGGTGGAGAAGACAGTGGTCCGAGAGACTGCTTTTCAGATGGGAGGAATTCATCACGTGCAGATGGCCGCACTCCGTGAGAAGGAAGACCCTGCTCAGGACGCCCTCCAGTGGGCTGGCTGCGTGGATCAATGGTGGTCCCCTTGGGTGGGGGAGACAGCAGCCCAGCGCAGGGTCCCCACACGGTGGCATCTCTAAAGGCTGGAGGGTGAGTGTTGTGGACTCTGCTGTGACAGTCCCTGCTGCAGCTGCTCAGCCCTGCTCAGAACAGCACAGTCCCTCAACAAATGGGCACAGAGACGTGCCAATAAAACTATCTGCCAAAGTAGGCAGCAGGCTGGACTTGACCCCCAGGCACCGGGTGTAGGACCTCGTCTCCAGGCCAGTGGCTCTCAAGCATGGTCTCTGGGTCGCAGCATCTCTGCTGCCTGGGAACTCAGTGGAAATTCCAAACTCCTGGTCCCACCCACATCCGTGGAATCAGCACCAGTTCAAATGCAGCTGGGTTTGTGATTCTAGAATTCTGGAAGTTAGCCAACCTTGAGTGCCACACTGGGCAGCCAGGGAGAATGGAGTGAGGGGCAGGCCATGCACCTTGATAAGGGCTCTGGTATCCAGGCCTCCGTCCTGCCCCCTGTGCTCTCCCCTTTGGCTGTCTTCCACGGGGCCCCTGGGGACAGCTGCTGTGGCTGGCCCTTTGCAGCACCCTCTGCTCTGTGGCCATGGTTTCCTGGCCATGACCCTCACCCACTGGGTGTGCTTCAGGGCCTGGGATGCCGTGGCTCGCCTGGCAGCCCCCAGCCCCTGCACTCAGCGGGGCTGGGCAGCATTTTGTGCATTAAGGGACTCTGACTTAAAGCTCAGCACCATCGGGAGTTTAGCGACAGCTTTTAAATGACCGCAGTGAGATAATGTGATTTCACGCTTTTGAGTCATCTAAGGGAGTGAGGTGTGTGAGCCGCTAATGGGCTCAGAGAGAGACTGCCCTTGAGGCCTGTGGCCCCCGTCCACAGGAACTCAACTGCCCCAAGGCCAGGGGAGCAGCCACTGTCCAAGGACGAAGTTCTAGCCAGTTCTTGGGCCCAAGGAGCAGCACCTCGGCAGGCCTGGGCACTGTGTCACACCCTGCTCACGAGCCAGTGAGCAGCTTCCTGCATAGACCTGGGCAGATGGGCAGATGGCTGGTGCCTCTGAGTGCTGGTGGCCCTGAAGGGCCCTCAGACTAAAAGAGAGAGGTGACGGGGAGGCCTCTGGTGTCCACTGGCCAGGCGGTGTCAAAGTGCACATAGAGGGGCCGCCCGAGGAGAGGTTTACCCAGGATCCTGTGTGGCACCTTCGTGGGCTCTGATTTTAAAGATTTAAGTGCATTTTTATTTCATTTCATCATTGAATTCCAAATGAGGTCCCTTAAAAACAATCTCGGGGAACCATCACCAACCCCATCTCTCTTCCTGTGTGCGTCTTCCTTGTGTCGCCGTGTTTCGAGCAGGAGCATATGCCCCTCACTCAGAGCAGACCTCGATTACGAGTGGGACCTAAACCCGAGCCATGTTGACCAGTGGGTGGAGAATATTCCAAGGAGGACACCTCCTGGGGACAGGAGGTCTCTGCTCTGAGAAAGGAAGATGGGAGCTGGGGATGTAGCTCAAGCGGTAATGCGCTCGCCTGGCATTCGCGGGGCGCTGGGTTCAATCCTCAGCACCACATAAAATAAAATAAAGATGTTGTGTCCACCGAAAAACTGAAAAATAAACATTAAAAAATTCTCTCTCTCTTTCTCTTTAAAAAAAAAAAGGAAGATGGACAGGGATGGACAAAGTCCCCCCCATGGGCTGCCTGACACTGCCAATTTCAGGGGTCTATTGGAGTGGACAGGGCTGTGTGTTGGTCCCTTTGCCCATGGGAAAGGGACCACATGAATTTGGGTTAGGGACCTTCACCCTTTCAGAAGGCAGGGTCTATGGTAGACACAGGGACGCAGCAGTGAGAGGGACTTCCGCTGTCCAGAGAGGGCCAGAGCACCAGGGAGCTGGAAGGGGACCTAGGGCAGGACAGCCAGCTGCCAATGCAAAGGCCCTGGGGGGGCATGGGCGTGGCCTTGGGGAAGGCCCCATCATTGCCTGCCTTCCGGCGCTGTAACACATGACCTCACGCTGGACAGTCCTGGGAAGGCTCAGCTGAGGAAGGATTCCCTGATCTGTGGGCTGTGGGGCTAGGCCTCGGCTCCTCTAGCTGCAGGCCAGAGGTCACCCTCAGTTCCTGCCACATGGGCCTCTCCCACATGGCTGCTTGCTCATCAGAGCCATCGAGGGAGAGTCAGCTAGCAAGGTAGAAGTCACAGTCACAGAAGTGTCAGCCCCATATGGCTGTAGCCCCCGTGTGCTGGTGAGAAGCAAGTCACCAGGCCCAGCCACCCTCGGGGGCTAGGGGGCTGCACAGAGAGGGAGTCCCGGGCCCAGCTCGCTGGGGGCCTCTGACAGTCTTCTTACAAGCTCGGGGCAGCACCGGAGGCTGTCATGGACAGGAGGCAGGACCAAGGGAACCCCAGGGGTGACTCCGGGTGGCAGCAGTGCCCTTCCTGGGAGAGGAGCCTGGCTGGGACGCACAGACTCTCCAGTTTCTGCAGGGTGGCAGAACTTGTCATCTCAGAGAAGCCGGGCCCCTGTGACAGGTCAGGGGGCAATGGTGGAGTGGAGTCCCAGAGTCCTGGCCCCTTGTCATCAGCCCAGACAGCCTCTGGCCTCTGGGATCATAGGAGCTCCTGGCCAAATGTGACCACCCCTCCCCACTCTGCTTTTCTTCTAGAACTTCCCCTCCCTGAAGAAGCAAGCAGGTCTGGACCACTGAGGCCAGCTCCATGTATCCAGAATCGACCACGGTCTCCCCGGCTCGGCACTCCCTGCGGCAGACGGGCTCCCCCGGGATGGTCTACAGGTGACTCCCACCCCACCCCCCTGCAGGGGTCCCCGAGGCCAAGACCTTCCCGGGGGGGGGGGGGGGGGGGCGGAGCAGGGCCCACAGGGCTGAGAGGCACACGCTGCTCATTCTCCCAGGAAAGAAGGCAGGCTCTTGAAGACCAAAATGGGAAAGAAAAAGCAAAGGTTTTGCAGGTGGCGCCGAGCCGGGACACATTCCTTCCTGGTCCCCAACTTCCAAAGTGCTCCCCTGGAGGATAACAGAGGCCTGGCGGTGAGCCAAGGCCCTTGCGGGCTCCCATTTCTCACAAGTCACGGCTCGTGCGTCCTCCGTGGTCCCACACGTCCCCCTGTGCTCACACCCTCACAAGCCTTTGGGGAGCCACGGTCGCCTGTTTACCTACCCTGGAGAGACTGGGCAGCCGGATGCTCCCAGGGCAGCTTGGCCTCCTCCATAAAGGCCACTTCCAAACCCTGCCCTGGGTGTGATCTGCGCGACAGGCAGCCCTGAACAGCAGGGGGCGCTGGGCGAGAGCTGCCGACCTGGGTGGGGGCAGGGAGCCCCAGTGGCAGTGGCCCTGTGGGCACTGGGCAGTCAGACCTCCCTAGACAGCTGTTAGGGCCTGAGGCCGTGCCGGGTCCACGGGAGCCCAGGGCAAGTGATGCCTGTCCTGAAAGGACTCAGGAGCCCCAGGCAGCAGGCTGACCTCTTGACTGCAGAGTTTTTAATATTCTTTTAAAGCACACTGAAATCCAGACAGACCCTCTCCCAGAGACTTACCATGGGAAATAAGGGCCGGTGCGGGACCCCTTGCATGTCCAGACAGATGGGCTCAGGCCCTGCCTCTGTGGCCACTGGGTGGCGCTGCTGCAGAGCATTTGGTACCCAGGCGCCTCCGGAGCAGGCGGAGGGGGCGGGCCAGGCCTGCGGGGTGTTGGTGATGCGTTCTGTGCTGGCACTTGACTGTGGTTGATGCCAACTCTGCACTATCTTCTCTCCTCTCTCTTTTTTTTCTCTTTTCTCCATTGCCGTCCGAAGTACTAGGTATGGGAGCCCCAAAAGACAGCTCCAGTTTTACAGGTAATGAGTTCTTCGTTTTCTCTTGAATACAGCGAGCTGAAGGCCGGGGAGTGGGCGGGAGGACTGTGCCCACACACAGGTGACACCAGGGCCCTGCCTCTCTCAGTGCCCACCCACAGAGCATATGTAATGCCTGACACAAAGTGTGCGGTAGCCTTAGTCGTGCGTGTGAGTCTCCTAGAGGTTGGCTGTTGGTTTGAGCAAATGGTCTTCTGGGCTCGTCACTCTCAGCAGACCTCCTGTTAGCCCTGCACTCACCAGCAGCAGATGGCCGCCTTGCCACAATCGTGGTCTTGCGCTTCTGTCACCAGGCCACAGGCTCCCTGGAGAGCGCCGTTCTCCCTTCTGCCTGAGGATCTGGGCTGACCCCTACAGAGCTCTTGGGTCCATTGAGCTGAAGGCCTTCTTGGGGTGTGCGGTACCTATGTGGCTTGGATCGTGTCGGGATGGACAGTGTCATTCTCCTGCTGTGCTTCCCCACTGGCAAATTAGAAACCCGATGTTTGCCTGACAAGAAACTGTGCTCAGAGGGATGGGTGGCATCAAGAGGTCCAGGCATGGGCCCAGCAGGGTCCTGTCTGTCCCTCCCTCTGGTCTGCCTCCCTCACCAGTAAGCAGGGCACACACCAAAAAGATTCATACTACTTCCTGGAGGGTTTCCAAGTTTAGGAAGCAAGATCTCGGGGTTGTGCTGAAGCCGGGGGTCAGCGGGGTCTGCCAGCCTCGGCACCGTGGAGGGGTGGGGTCTTGGTGACAGTTCCCTGTGTTGCCGCTTCCCTGTGTTGCAGACCTGGGAAGCCTCTCTGTCCAAAACCAGCTCCAAGTGTTGTGCACACACCCACCAGACGTGGAGCTGAGGAGTGTGTCTTGATGGTGTACAGGATCTGGGGCTGTGGGTGCCACAGGGTCTGTGCTGGGTTTCCATGCGACTTTCCTCCCTACCCCAGTGGTCTCAGTGCCTCTGAGCATGACCGTGGACCTGGGCACACAGGGCTCCTGTGAGGTCTCCTTCCTTACAGGGAGCTCCAAAGAGATGGCTGACTCTTTGAATCTACTGAAATTTTGGTTAAATAAGATTTTTGCCTGAATTTGGGCTTTTTTTTTTTTTTTTTGATAAATGCTTTTTTTTTTTTTTTTGATAAATGCTTATATCGTCACGTACATCTGTATTGCGTAATACCTTAATGGATGTATGGGGTTGGTCCCGGAAAGACTGGACCAAGGAAGCCACATTCACACCTGACCCGCACCCCCAGGGAGCTTCACACCTGACCCGCACCCCCAGGGAGCGCTCTCAGCCCAGAAGCGGCAGGAGACACAGCAACAGGCGGAAAAATCCCAGCTGCACACTGGCCAGCCCAGAGAGCGCTCCATGATGGGGCCTCAGGGCACAGAGACTGTCCGCATGATGGACTCCTGTGCACCACTAACTGGTCCTCAGAACAAGGGTCACAGGACGGGTCCGGTCATCCAGCCCCGGGAGCACCCTGGTCCTCTGGAGGCCTTCCCTCCCTGAGGGAGAGCTCTGAAGACCTCCTCACAGTCTCTCGTCCACGTTCCATGCCCACAGGTCCTGGCCACCCTGTCCTTTGGGTCTCTGAGGCTGTTGTTCACGTGCACCCTCAGGTGACCTCAAAGGGGAGGGGTCTTTATTTAACAGGCTAGATGCCACTCCAAGTAGGGCACCCCTTACATGGCACTAAGCGTGACTTTCGGGGAGCCACTGGAGTAACTTAAGACTGGCCCTCTGATGAGCAAAGGTGTTCAAGGCAGGTGCCCACCCTTGAGCAGCGCCCAGACTGGTAAGGGAGTAAGACCCTGTATCAGTCAGCGCTCACAGACTGTTCCATAACAAACGTCCCCAAAACAGTACCTGGCGGGAGTTTTCATTTCTTTCTTGCTTGTATATCTGTCCAATTAGACTTTTTAGTTTTTAATTTATTTTCAGTATTGGGATGAAACCCAGGATGCTCTACTACTGGATTACATGCCCCAGCCCTTGCTATTTTTTGATGGTCTGTTTGTTTTAGTTTTGAGACAGGATCTCACTAACTGGTCCAGGGTGATCTCAAACAAGCAATCCTCCTGCCTGGGCCTCCTGAGTTGGGATCACAGAGTGTGTTACCGTGCCCGACTCTGTTGCTGGTCTATCTGTGGGTTGACTGCAGTCAGCTGCTCTCGGCTGGACTGGGTTTGTCTCCAAGGTGCAGGTGGACCCAGCGTCCTCTCCTCTTGTCCTTCTTAACCAGGCCTGGCCTGGCCCAGTATCCCCATGGCGGGGGTGCCAGAGGAGAAACAGAGTGTGCCCTGTCTCTCAGAGACGGGGAACAGAGCACGGGCAGTTCTGCTCCTAGCGAGACTCGTGACCGTCACCCCTCCCAGAGTCAAAGGGCAGGAAAATATCTTCCTCCACCTGTGGGAGGAACTAGGAGTCACATGGCAAAGGACACGGATACTGAGGGGCAAAGGAGTGGGGACAATGACCCAGTCTGCCCCAGAACTCTACCCCAGAACTCCAGCACTGTCCAGAGGGCCACAGAGCTGCGGCGTCCCCAGGAGGGTGACTGGTAGTGCCCCAGGGGTCACACCCCGGGCCGGGGGCCAGGATGCGTGCTGTCAAGAAGGGCTGCCCTGCCTGCCTGGAGGCCATGGCAGTGGGGTGTCCAAATGCCCGACCTCCAGGGCCTGGCCGCTGAGAGCGCTGGCAGCGTAGGACACATCACGTGTGGCTCAGCCTGCCAGGGGCTTCCTCAGGTGCTGAGGGGAGGCCTGGCCACCCAGCCCTTTGCTGTGGGTGGTGGTCACATGCCATGGGGACCTAGCTCCCCTGCTGCAAGCACACTTTCGAGTTCGGTAGTGAGCTGCATCGTGCTGAAATAACAAGTAGACAGCCTGACCCCCCACCCCCAGCGGCTCCGAGAGCCCTTGCCTCTGGCACACCAGTGGTGGGGCAGCGAGGGGCCAAGGGAAGGGTCCGAGGGTCGGACCCCCACGTTGGGCTGCACCCGACCCCATCTACCAGGAGCCGGCCGTGCCAGGCTGCATGGCGGAAACTCACTTCCCGAGCTTTCGGGGGAAGCAGCGATCGTGAATAATTCAGCTGCTTCCACGGAGACGAAAATGCCCTAATAGAACTAATGCACTCGCTGCCTCCAGCCGCCCCGGGGGACTGCCTCATTCACCGCTTGCTTCTGACGTTCGCAGTGACACTCCCTAATGAAAACCCTGCGCCAGATCCTTAGATCCCTAAAAACTAGCCTGTGGCCCTTTTAACAAGCAGCCGCCCACGGAGGCAGGTGAGTCGGCCCTTCAGCCCCAGGAACGAACCTGTGGCCACCTGCTTGCGGGGATGCCGCCCGGGGCAGGAACTGGGATAACAGGGGTGGTATTTCAGGAAGCTTTGGGCTGATCTGCAATTAGACCCTCGACATTTTCTCAGCAGAGAATCTCAAGGAAGGGATGGCCCCGGGCAGATGACCAGCGCTGGATGGAGGAGGGTGGCCAGGCTCCCTCCTGCAGCGCCCGCCGCCCGGGTGTTCCCGCGCTTGAGCCTGCTTTGCCCGCCCTGCCCAGCGCCGCCTGGCCTTCCCGTCCACCGGAGGCGCGGTGGGAGCTCCTGCCTCGCTGGGCTCGCCGCGGACCAGTCAGCACTTTTGCACTTGGCTGTGAACGCTGTCGGAGGTTTGGGGCCCGTCTGAAGAGTCTGTTTAGGGAGCCCGTGCCTGAGGGACCTGGGGCTGCTTGTCGGGGCCTCTGTTTGCTGATGGTTCTTGAGCGAAAATGATTTTGCTTCTGTGCTGATGTGGTGCCCCGCGTGCGCTGCCGAGCCGAGCCGCGAATGCTGCCGCTTCCCTCCGTCCCCACTCTCCAGACCTGTGGCGGTGCCTCTGGTTTCCAGACAGATGTCATCATTGCACAGGGACACCCAGGCCTCCTCCTCCGCCTCACGTCTTGCTGCGGTGGCTGTCCGTGAGCAGACCCCAGTTCAGACTCCAGGTGGAAGGAGGCTTGGCGGGAGGCAGCGGCTCTGGTGGCTTAACGAGGTTAACAGCGCCGTTTCATTTTTCCATGTCACGGTGTTGATTCGCGTGAATTCCCTGGAGCCCCCCAGCTGACAAGAATAGATTTGCAGAAGGCAGGAAAGAACTTGTGATCAGCAGTGGCTATTGAGGAGGGGGCTAATTTTTCCGGACAGCAGGGTGAGGGGTAGCCTCAGAGCTTGGAGAACCTGACCCTGGAAAGCAGCTGGGGTGTTGTGGATCGGAGGTCCAGGGTCAAGGAACATTTGATCTCAGGAGGTGGGGGGCCTGAGGCTGAAGCCCCTCTGTCCTCCCTGGCAACGTCTCACCTGGGCCCTATATACAGGCACCCTACTCTGCTAGAATCACCCCCAGAAAAAGCCCAGAGAAAAGCCCCCACATGAGGGTCCAGGAGATGAACTCTGCCCTCCACATGCAGTCCCAGGCAGCGGGGTGACCACCAGCCCTGCTGTGCCATCTGCACACAGTGTCCTTCCTTCCCCAGGAAGACCCTCCCAGCTGCTCCCCAGAGCTCCTCAAGGGCCTCTCCCTGCATGGACCACCTCATGGGCACAGGCCTCTGCTCTCACCGCCTCCCACCTCACACCAGGGGCCCCCACGCCCACCCACTTCTCTGCCCACAAGTCCCTGCACCACATTTGTGGCAGGAAGCTCCAGGCTTCCCCATGTTGCAGGGCCTGCACCCACAGGCCTGCTCCCAGGACGGGGAGACTTGCCACAGGGATAATCACGAGCAAGGAGTCCATGGCCCCACAGAGGGGTCCCCGCGGGACCTGGCGGCGTGGCTGTCCAAGGCCGTGGCTGAGGCTCATTCTCTCTTGCCCTCTCTCCCTTCCGACCCACTCCACAATCCCCTGCACCATCTGCCCAGGGACACGCATGCCTGTGACAGGGGCCTCGTTAGCTTCTGGACACTTCCCAGCCACGGCTGGTGTCTGCCCGGGTCTTGAGACTCGTTGC